GTTTCTATTAAGCTTTTCGATTGTAACTATCACACCTGGAGTGAGGTCATGCTATTGGCCTTGGAGACGAAGAAAAAATCTCAGTTCATATTAAGCTTTTCGATTGTAACTATCACACAATGGTTGTATACCTATTCCCCAGGTAACTGATGCTCACTATCAATCCCGGGCTAGATGCAATGGAACCATTCGTTGCTGGATCTATAATTCGTTGTCAGATGACATAGTAAATAGTGTGATGAGACTAGGGTTAGCAAAAGATGTATGGGATAACTTGAAGAACCGTTTTAGCTAGGAGGACAACATTCGAGTTTATGATCTCAAAGGTCAATTGGCAAAATGTGTTCATGGTGATGATACTGTGATTCAATACTTCACTAATCTCATAGTCATTTGGGAAGAAATCAAAAGATACAGACCTATCCCTGTGTCTCCTTATGAAACCCTAAAGAGATATCAGGACAATGATTTTGTCATCAAATTTCTTCAAGGGTTGAACCCTTCTTACCAATCAGCAAGGACTCAAATCTTGATGTTGCTTGTTCTGCCCCATGTCGACATAGTCTTCAAGCATATTTTACAGTTGGAACGACAATTGAAGGTCCTTAACAAGGGTCCTAGTGTTGATTCTCTTGCCTTAGTTGTGGAAACACCCAACAACAACCAATTCAAGGGAAGAGCACAACAACAACAACAATCTCAAGATGGTAAGAAGATTTGCAATTATTGCAAGGAGGGTCATGTGATCAAGGACTGCTACAGATTGAAAAACAAGAAGGCTAGAGAGGCATAATCTGGTTTTGCTGGATCAGTGGAGAGTTCCATTCTATTTGAGAACTCCACTGTCTCTTCTGACAAACAAATGAGTCTTGAGAACATTTTCACTCATGAATAGATGGAGACATTGAAGCTTATGCTCTTCAAATCACCATCTCCTTCTCCATCACCTCCTACTTCTCCATCATTGCATACTACTAATGCAGTCACTCGTTTTGTTCCAGTCAACAGGAAACCTCCACAACTGGCTTACATGCCTTCCAGTTTAGGTACTACATCACTTTCCGCTCTAATTGCATATTCTGGTGAACCATTATGGGTTTTGGATACTGGGGCTATAGACAATATCATCTGTAGTTCTAAATTTTACAACGAGTATAAGGTTCTTACTGCTATTTCTGTTACTTTACCTACTGGTGAACAAGTAAAGGCCACACACATAGGTCTAGTTAAACTTCATTGTGGCTTGTTTCTTTCACAAGTCATGTTAGTACCCACTTTTAGCTACAATAATCTTGTTTTAGTAAAAAAAAAGTCAGCAAGTTAACCAAACAAAATCTTGTTTCACTTACCTTTCAATCCTCTGTTTGTGTCATTCAGGACCTTATTACACAGAAGAGGATTGGTTTAGCCCAAGTGGTTAGAGGACTTTACCTTTTCGCCAAGACACCATCTCCCACTTCATCACCTCAGTGCCTTGCAGGTGCAGCCACTTCTCACAACTTCCAGACCCAACAGTTTGATCTATGGCATGCCAGATTAGAACATCCCCATGTCTCTAGATTACAAGCTATTCATAAAGTTTTCCCTGATGTAATAGCTTCTACATGCACTCATTGTGATGTTTGTCACTTAAGCCAAACAGAAGAGGCTTCCATTTACTTCCAGTTCTTCTATTAGACCTGTTCTTTTTGGATTAATCCATGCTGATATTTGGGGTCCATTGAACATAGTTTCTTACAATGGCTATAGTTATTTTTTAACCTTAGTTGATGACCATTCTAGATGGGTGTGTACCTATCTTATGAAATCCAAGGATGAGGCCAGACCTCTCCTTCAATCCTTATGTTCTATGGGCAAGTCTTAATTTAACACAAATGTCAAAATCATTAGACTGACCAAGGACAGGAGTTTCATATGAATGATTTTTATAGCAAAGAAGGGATTTTTCATCAAATGAGTGTTTTTTATACTTTCCAACATAATGGGAGGGTTGAATGAAAGCATCAACACCTCCTTAATGTTGCTAGAGCACTAAAAAACCAATCTGGTCTACCTCTGTTGTACTGGAGTGATTTTATCCTTCATGCAGCATACCTGATCAATAGAACACCTACTCCCATTCTGCAAAATAAAACACCTTTTGAGGTCCTTCATCAACTGCCTCCTGGCTATACCAGTTTGAAGGTTTTTGGTTGTTTGGCTTATGCAACCACACAGGGCAATCCATAACCAAATTTGATCCTCGAGCCAAACAATGCATTTTCCTTGGTATACCAGCAGGCATCAAAGGTTTTAAAATTTTGAATCTTGACACTAAACATGTCTTTGTTTCTCGAGATGTGGTCTTTTATGAACACATTCTTCCTTACAAACAATCTGCTCCTTCCTCTCCACCAATCTTTTCTGAAAATTTTCCCTCATATGCACAGTCACCCAGTTTTCGTCCCAATCCTGTGACTTCCTATCCTCATCAGTCTGAGGAGGACACTCCCATTCCCTCTAACTTACATCCTGATGAATCTTATGAAGTCACTTCTTCACCTACTAGGTCTGATGCATCCCTTCCTTTCCTGTTATCACCATCTTCATCTAAACCACCTTCTCCTACTCCTTCTTCCACATACACTTTTTCACCCTGTCCTTTCCCTCATGAAGATCCACCTGCTCCTCTTAAAAAATCAATCAGAGAATCAAAACCTCCTTTATGGCATTCTGATTATGATATGCAGTACCCTCAGAGTAAGAGTATCTCTTACTCCCACTTGCAACCTAAACTTCATAAATTTGTTAATTCATTGATCACTCACATGGAACTAAGTACCTACACTACACTGAAGCTTCAGAACACCCTGAGTGGAATGAAGCTATAAGAGAAGAGCTGCAAGCACTGTTTAACAATGGTACATGGGAAATCACAGATTTGCCAGCTGATAAGAATGCAATAGGGTGCAAGTGGGTGTTTAGATTGAAGTTGAAGTCAGATGGCATAGTTGACAGGTATAAAGCCAGATTAGTTGAAAAGGGATATACAAAAGTTTATGGGATTGATTATTGTGATACATTCTCACCAGTGGCCAAGATGACCTTAGTTAAAATGTTATTATCTGTTGAAGCTGTTAAAGGTTGGCATTTACATCAAATGGATGTCAGCAATGCCTTTCTTAATGGGGATTTGACTGAGGAAGTGTCCATGGTGTTGCCACCTGGATTGGAACTTGATGGGAAGTACAAAGGGAAAGTATGCAAATTGAAGAAATCTTTGTATGGTTTGAAGCAAGCAAGTCGACAGTGGTACGCAAAGTCGGCTGATTCTTTGATTAATCATGGCTTCAAGCAATCTACATGTGATTATTCAATCTTTACTGCTCAGATTCTGGATGAGTTAGTAGTGTTAATAGTTTATGTGGATGACATAGTTTTGGGAAGCCTGAGTTTGGAGTCAATGAATGCAGTAAAGGGAATGTTGCATGCTGATTTCAAAATGAAGGATCTAGGAGAATTGAGTTATTTTCTTGGCCTTGAAATAACCCGTGGGAAATAGGGATGGCAAAACTGGCTCGCCCCGACGGGTTTGGCCCGGCCCACCCCATTCTGGGGCAGGTCATACCCGACCCGTCCACAAACGGGACAAGTCTTGGCCCAACCCGTAACATTTCAGGCCAGGTCCAGGTACTAAGCCCACCCTGATCTGTCCTCGCCCCGTCCCGCATCTGCTCTTTCAATAGTCAATACCCATATGTGAATAGTCGACACCAGCTCAATCTTGGAAGTTGGCAGAATTAATTCTCAATCTCCCTCTTTTCTCCCACCCAGCACCCACGCATGGAGCCTTTGATGATTCATTTCCCAACAAGTTCCCACTTTCCCAGATCCATAGTCGCTTGCTTCTCCCTTTCTCCGTTTGCTTCCCTATTTCCCAACTCCATAGCCATTTCCCAATGATTAATGCCTCTCAAACTCGACTGGTCGAACTTCAGCCAATGCCTCGTCTTTTGAATCCAAATCTAACAACAATCTTAACTGCCCAATCCCTAGATATTATATAAAGGATGATTGAGAGATCTTCTCACGCACTTCTCCTTATCCACATATCCAAACCAAGAGATTCAATAGGTAACAAATTGATTCTTTTGGTATTTGGTTGTTGGCTGGTTCAAGCAAATGTGCCAATACTGCCCTGCCACCCAATAGTTGGCTACGACTTCATCATAAGAAACATGCATAAGTGTGCTTTGATGTGCAGGGATTAGAAGGAGCTTCCTACTTTTCAATTTTTTGTCCTCTACCTAGGCTTCCCCTTCCTTTTTGTTTTACAATTATATCTTTAGTTTAGGTCTCATGTTTCTCGCAGTACTCTAGTTATGCTTGTATAACCATGTTGTCTTCTTCGTATGGGATTTACCATTTAGTTGTATGATTGTGTTCAATTAGCTAGCTTTGCACTTTCATATTTTGATGTTTATGTCGTCCATATGTAATTTATGTGTTCTGAATACTTATGATTTTCCTATCCTTATTTGTGCTGCTATATGCAGCTTTAATAGCATAGCCAGATCTTATTTATTATCAGTTTCTCTTTCTATTTGATGCATTATTGGTTATCTTTTTTTTTTGTATAAATCCCTGCAAGCTGCATCTTTGTTTTTACTTTGCATCTTTTTTATTTCGTGTTTCATCTATGTAGGTTGTAGCAAGCTACCCAAATGGAAACTGGTGGAGCTATAGGCAAAACACGTTCCGAAGTGTGGTCTCATTTTGACCAAATACAAGTTGGCGAGAAGAGGAATGCAATGTGCAAATACCGCAACTACTGCTTGGCTACACATCCCAAGCTAGGAACAATTCATCTGTGGAGGCATTTGGATAGATGCACAAAACGAAAGGTATGGTGCAGTGTTCTTGTATTTATTCAACTTGTCATATAATCTGGTTTACATGTCAATGTATGGTAGTTGTTGATTCATGTCATCTATATATTTATTAAATCCCGAAATCTTGGTATAGTATTAAGAAGGATTGCCTCAGCATATCTGACCTTCAGAAGGTAGCTATGATTCAATTTGTAGTTAGTTTGTTAGTTGGTCATGAATTGATTGATGTATTTGGAATTTTTTAAATTATAAGATAATGATTTACTGTGAAACTGGTGTTGCAGCCTGCACAAATAGTAGTATCGGTTGAGGTTCAGATTGGGTCTGAAAAGGAAACCAATGACCATGCTGATAATGATAATTGAGGTATGATTCTGGTCAAGTTTTCAGATTCATTCTCTCTAGTTCAACTTATGTGTATGTTGTATCTATTAGTAGCTAATTATGATTAGGAGATGGTTTTATTCCATTTCTACTTTTGCTCATATTGCTTTTTGTGTTGAATTGTGTCATTTACCTAAATACAATGGGATGATTCATTAATCTATTTTTTTTTACTTTGGACCCATGAAATTTCAATGTTATTATTTGTTCTTTGAGAAGCATGGGGCAGGGCGGGTCTGACCCGCCCCGTACAAGGCAGGGCATGGGTCAGACGAGCATTACTCGTGGCAGGTCGTGGGGCAGGTCGGGGCGAAAAAGCAAATGGGCAGGGCAGGTCCGGATAGTGCACTACCCGACCTGTTCTGGACCCATTGCCATTCCTAGTTGGAAATAAGGCATTATAGTTTCACAGAGAAAATACTGCCTTGATGTTATTGCTGAATCAGGATTTGGAGATTGCCAACCTGCAGCAACTCCAATCTTTGTCAAGGAAGATTTGTCTTCAGAAGGTGGTACACCACTTGAAGACATTAGTGAATACAGGCACCTAGTGGGACAATCTTAACCACCACTAGGCCTGATATCACCTTTGCAAGTTCAGCAGCTTTGCCAATTCCAGGACAAACCTACCACACAACATCTTAGAGCTTTACATAGAGTTCTAAGATATTTAAAAGGTTCACCTGAACAGGGTCTGTTATACTCTTGTGATTCCAATTTACAATTAAAGGGATACAGTGATATTGATTGGGGTACTTGCCCTGACTCATGAAGGTCGATTACAGGATATTGCACCTTTCTTGGAACTGGTTTACTAAGCTGGAAGAGTAAGAAACAAACAACTATATCTCGTTCCTCATCAGGAGCAGAGTATAGGGCATTGGCAAGTCTGAGTTGTGAGGTGCAGTGGCTAATAAGGTTGCTCACAGAGTTTGGAATCGAGCATGACAATTCTGTCTCAGTATACTTTGATAATCAATCTGCATTAACCATTGCAAACAATTCAGTGTTTCACGAGAGGACAAAACACATCGAGGTGGATTGTCATGTCATAAGGGAAAGGGTTCAATCAGGGATGATCTCTTTACATTACATTCCCATTGAGTTACAGCTAGCAGATATTTTCACCAAAAGTTTACCAATTGATCGTTTCATTATGTTGTTATTCAAGCTAGGAGTATATAACCTATACTCGCCAGTTTGTGGGAGGGTGAAAAGGAGCGTGGATGATGAAGATGAAGATGCTCCTGAGCTGGTTGCTGACCATGGAAAAGATGTTGCTAATCTGGAAGGAAGAATGACAAAAGCAGAGAAGAATGATGATGATGTGGTCATTGACAAAAAGAGAAGCAACGCACCATTTTGTATGCAACGACAGCCTTCAAATTTTACTGTGTAATTAAAGAAGTGTACAGAGTTGATAGGCTAGTTAGAAGGTTAGTTTAACGGCTAATTGTAAATGTTAGTTTACAAGATGTATATAAGCTTCTCTCATTGGAAAAGCTTGATTTTCCCCAATTTGTTTTTCTGGCAAATTCCTCTCAATCTCTAAATCTTCTCATAGATATCGCTTTGTCGCGTTGAGACGTGGATGTGGAGTGGGGTGGAGACCTGCACCACAAGGTTGGGTCACTGTGAATTCTAATGGCTCGTTCTTACCATCAAACCGGCAAACAGCTGCCAAATAGTGGTGCATGATAGGCATAGTCACTTATCAGCCTACACCATCATTTTGGTAAGTTTTTCTATCACTCACGCGGATTTCGGAAGGGGCCAATGAGGATAACCTTGCAGATGGATTCAAAAACAACATTATCCATCATGCAAGTGACGTTGATCCGTTACATCAGCATACGAGTTTAGTCTCTCTCACGTGTTCGGGGAGAGGAATAGCCTAGTCGATTGTTTGGCCCATTTCTGTCACTTTTGGCACTCATTCTAAGCAAGACCATTAGATGCTATTGGTTGTAGGGGTGGCTATACGGTCTGGTCCGGTTAAATTGGCCCGAATTGATCTGGTCCAGGCCCGGTCTTTTCGAGAATATAAGGATCAAAGATTGGATTGGATATAGTCCGGTCTTGATTCGGTTCGGTCCCAATTCAGTCTTGATTTTATATTGAGTTAGTGGGGATTTGAGTGGTCTGAGGGGGGATTTGAGTGGCCTGAGGCTTGAAAGGGTGAGGATGTTAAATTTTGGGTGTTGGGCTCTCTTATCCGGTCTTTATCCAGTTTTTCGGTCCGGCCCCGAATGGTTTTTTACCTCAAATTTAGGTTCGAAGATGAGATTGGATTGTTTGTTATCCTGTCTCGATTCGAGTTATACGATTCGGTTTTGAGTAAAACCAAAAAGCCAGAACCAAATAGCCATCCCTAATTTGTTGTATGACATTATAGTAGTGTCTATGCCCCCGATGGATTAATAAAATGAGCTAACGGTCATTTTTAAATATCAAAGCTTGGCTAAATGGCATGTTTGATTACTGGGTTTATAATTACGTGCCATATTTGCCAGTAGAATATTTTAATTACATTAGTGGTTGCTAAATTTACATTAATTTTTATGAATTTCAAGTAATTGTATTTGTAAATGGAGAATTGAATGATTAATTAATTAATTTATTTTTATTGACGGTCACACGTAAATGTTGACTGCCACATATAATTAAGATTTGGAGTAAGGCGGAGAGTGACCGATGGAGTAGTTGTGAATAAAAAATGTGGATGCAGAGAGAGTCTGATATCACTTGTAACATCACGAACCTTTTACATTTATCCTTACAGTGCTCCATAGTGAGCACGATTAATTTTGGAGTTATTACATTTACAAATTACAAAAACTCCCCCATTGCACCCAAAAGTCAAATTAATTTCTTATTTATAAACTATAAATCTCTCTCGTACTTTATCGATATGAAATTCGCCTAAACGATAAAAAACTATTTAGTATAAGAAAACCTTAGTCAACTGGGAACAAAATCACTATTGAGTATTGACCAATTTGCTAAACCAACCAAATTAGAAAAGAGGAAAGAAGTAGTTGGGAGTTGGGACTGAGAAATTATTTTTTCACACACAAAGAGGAAACGTCGCCTGCGATTCCTTCACACGCAAAAAACAAAAACAAAAACAAAAGCAAAAAAAAAAGAGAAAGAGAAAGAGTCGCCTCCAATTCTTGTAGGACGGAGAATTGAATCGAGGCTTTGAGTGGTCGGTCTTCTCGTCAGATACGAGAGAACAGAGTTGAATAAAAGCATGGCTGTGCAGTTCAATGGCGGCAGCTGTGTTGTGGCAAGATCAATCTCACCGGCGGAGTCGCCGTCATTTCCGTCTGCGTTCCGTAAGTTGACCGGCGGTAGGTTTGGTGGTTCCGGCAAGGTGCGGCTCGTGTATGCAGTTGGCGCTGCCGGAGCGGGGAACAGCAGCAGTGATGGAAGCAGCAAGAAGAAGAACGTGGCTAATTCCAATTATGTGGTGCCTCTCGATAAATCGTTTTCCTTCGCCCAATCTTCTTGTATAACTCGCCCGCTCGCTGAGATCTTACGTGATCTGAACAAGAGGATCCCGGACAACATAATCAAGCCTCTCCAACCTCCGACCTCCATTCCATGGTATTGGGATTTCTTTCTTTCATCCTTTCTTAAACCTGCAGTTTGGTTGGTAAACTTCGTATGTCCAAATCCCTAATAACCCACCACGGATCTGTTCTTTGTACTTGATCGATCCTCTTTCATAGGTACCACGCCAACCGCATGTTAAGCTTCTACGCCCCTGGTATGTCCTCTGCTTCTTCCTTCCATTTCATTGATGCTGCTATCTCATCATCCTCCTGACATGATACATCCTGCATTGCCACTTAAGAACTAGGATGTAGTTTGCTTCACTCCTCTCTTTGACCCTGAACTTTTCCCTTATCAGCAGTTTGTCTGTCCCTTTTTCTAAATTTTGATCTTCAGATACTTTCTAGTTCTAGCTTTCTAAAGATGTCCAACCAGATGGTACAATGGTTCCGAAATCCGAATGTTAAATTTGCGAACTTTCTACCTGCTGTTGTTTCTGCTTTCTGTGGGTTGTTCCGTCACAATTGGCTGGAGAGCACATCATGTTATTGTAGCGTTTCTTACACCTTCGATCTGGTTCGTTGCCAAATTAGCATTCGAACGGTTTCTGTGATCCTATCCAGGCTAGTGTTGCAGCAAGAACATATTTTGGCATACACTAAGTAGTGAGTTAAACTGTGTTAATGTGCTATTGCTGAAAGATGCCCCTACTTCTGGTGATTATTTACACAGCTGTCTTCCAGACATTCCATGCTTTGGTCTCTTTAGTGAGCTGTTACTTGTTTGCGCTTAAGTTATCCTTTGTTAAGGAAGAACTGGGAATCTTCTTCAATTTATAACTATGAAATTGTTGTTTGTCAATTGGATAGGGTGGTGTGGAGAAATAAGGGATGTTATATTTTCAGACAACGGTAGCGTTACTGTGGTTTACCGTGTTACCATACGTGGATCAGATGGAGAGGTATGTTTCTGGTTCCTTGTACTGTACTTTGCATTTTATATTTTTGTTCATAAATTTGGCGATAAATTGAGCATAAGGGGTACCAACCAGAGGCATGTGTTGTCATGTCAGTACATTAGGCTAATTCACTTTGAAGTGTGCTCTAGTTCTTGGCTTATAACAGCAGCTGATTGCATTTTACTCTGATGGTTATGCTTTTTAAATTAGATACTATCTAAGGAGAGAAGTAACAATCGGGACACCGACCACCACCTTCCTTGGCATCATTAGTATAACATAATATGTAGAGGATAACCTGAAGGCAGAACTGTTGAAGGACTAATAATGCATATAATTCAGGATGTGTTCTGTACTTGTTTGTTATAGGTGGTAGTTGAGATATATATATGTGTGGAATTTTAGAGGGAGGGGGGGGGGGGGGGGGGGGGGGGGGGTGTGTTCCAACGGCATTCACGGCCTTCTTAGTTTGGAGATTGGACCTGACATTTGTTCTTCGTAGTTCTGTGAATAACTTCTTCTCGAACTTGATCCTTGGACTGCTAAGGATGTTTCGGGAAATTTGTAACAATGAGGAGCTTAAATCAAAATGTAAAAGTAGGCTATAGGTTACCCGCGAGGTAGAATGGGAACAATGAATCACAAATGTAGATTTGTGATATTGCAATGAAATACTTAGCTAAGGAAATGCATTTTCAGACAAGTCTTCGGTTTCCTTTTGACTCACCGGTTTGATATATGTTACTGATACAGGCACACCGCGAGTCAAGTGGCACAGTGTCACCGGTTGATGCCGACATTGCTGATCCTGTAGCAGCAGCAGAAGAAATAGCTTTCTGCAGAGCTTGTGCTAGGTTTGGGCTTGGCTTGTATCTATACCATGAAGAATAGAGAGTATCCTCACCACACAGGGGTTTGAGGGTGTGATTAATGTATGAGTCCGTTATTATTACGATGTTGTACTGATTAATCTCTCGCGAACTCGGCCAGCCAACAAAGGTAAATAACTTGAAAGAAGAAATGTTTGCTTTCCAAAGGTTCATTGATTTGTTCTGGTCGATTGTGCCCAATTTTAGTGCAATGCCACAAGGAAACTGAAAGTTAAATGAACAAATGGAAAGCAACATGAATACACCAATAAATAAGCACGAGTGGGAAAATGTTGTCGATGAGATGGGAGGATATGATTTATTCTTCTTCCTCTTCTTCAAAAGCATTCCATTCCAAAAAAAAGGCAAAAAAACAAAAAGAACAGGAACAGAGACTGGGCAGGGGCCAATAATGTCCATAGCCGGAAGGACGAGATAATAGTGTGCACTCGCTAAGCAATTCGGCAAGGAGATATGCATTTGTGGAGGCATGGTTCAATCAGGCTGCGGAGTACTGGAAACAAGCTATAGCACTTGCTCCTGGAAATCATAGTGAAACACAGAACTGGCTAGAGATCAATTCAGAGGGATTTTGGAGAAAGCATAGGCGGCAGGGAGGATTGTGGAGGTTCAGAATCATCCCTGGGATAGTAGTAGGGGTAGATAGTGTAGATTGTTGAAGCAATGGTGAGGGCAAATAGGAAGAAAGCGGCAACAAGGGAGAGGATAGCCCAAGGGCTCCTGAAATAGGTGTGGATGAGGTTGGCACGCCACTCATTCCAAGCCTTCTTGCAGTAAGCATTCACTCTCTTGTGCACAACATCCAGGCTGCTCTCGGGATCGAGGGCGGTGTCCCTAGAGAGCGAGTTGAAGAGCTTGGCCACCGCTTTATCGCTCCCTAGTGCGTTCTGGATGATCCCGTTGGAGACGAGCAGGGCCACATCTCTCTGGTCATCGATGATTTTGTCCATGAAAAAGATGTAGGATGTCACCTCATTCCCTGCACCCACATGGAACCGCTCGTAGGCTATCAGATTCAGGTAGATGGACTCTGTGAAGTCGTCCACCTCGATCACCGGAAGCTTGAGGACTCCGCCTTTGAACGTGATGTCTCTCGGGCTTCCGGTGGAGCTCTTTTTGAACCGGATTCCAGCTTCGTTCAGCTCCATGGCTGATCGGACAATGTCATCTCCGGCTTCCGAGAAAGCGCTGCCTCGTGTTGGACGTTGGCGCCGTCGCCTCCTTATGCCCAAGGCTTCGTCATCCTGATGAATGAGGCACTTCCGGTACACATCGACCACGTGCAGGCACTTGCCTAGATTAATCACTGGGGTGTTTGGAAGACAGAACTTCAGTATGAGCTTGTTCACGTATTCCTCGTCCTGCAACCAAGTTAATTGCAAGACAGTTTAGAAAAATTCGACAGAGTCCTACATATATATCTTTGTGCGTGCGTACCTTGCAGGCGTCACCGCACTCGACAGCAAGCAGCTTGTCGAGAAGGAGCATCGGCAGCTGATTCTCGAGCATCATCATGTCACGCTTGATATACGGCATGAGGTAGATCCTCCCGTGAGTGCTGAAAATGGGGTCACTCTGTGCGTAGTCGTCCAATGTGTGAGTAGCAACGCGCAGAACTTCGAGCATGAAACAGCCATCGACTATCATCAACCTTACGAACTTGCTGCTGCTTGCAGTTGCAGTGGCATCTTCCTCGTCGATCCAGGGCGCCTCCAGAGGGTTATACGACTCTTTCAGAGAAGCAACCACCTCGGCTATGGCATCGACGAACAGCTGCAGAGGTTTGTTGGACCGCCTCAGGAAATGTAGCAGGGCTCTTTGCTTGTGCTCTTCCATTGGCAGGAGATGGTCCTCGCCATGATGGTAAGGCCCAAAGGACACGGCCTGGGGCCTGTAGGCTGTCTTGTTCAGGTCTGTCACACAGGCAGGAAGTCTGTAGATGGATTGCTTCTTCCAGTGCTCTTCCTCTGCTGAAGCATCCGCCATGAGTTTTAGTTGCTCATTGACTTCAACAACCCAATTCGTCGCTGCCACCGCCGCTGCCATTGAATGACGTGCGTTTGGGCCTTCTCCCTGCGCGCTCTAGCTATGTGGGGAGATGGGAAGCAGATCAAAGAAGAAAGAGACCGGCCCAGGGGAGAAGTAAGGTTGTCTGGAAATCTTGAATGCATGTGATCAAGATGATATGATTTTATCGTACTGAGTCTGAGGATTAAGGATTACTTTGCTTGGTACGGAAGCAAAATTAAAGTGATAAGTTGGGAATATGGAGAGCCAGCAACTTTAACAGACGAATATATCTCCACTCGGCCCATTATCGGAAAAAATAAGGATAATTGAAGGTGACGGCCGGGAGAGTTATGCTTTCCTTGCAAAAGCAAAGAAAGAAACTAGTTCCTATAAGAAATGTGCATCATGTGTATGCTTCCTTCTGCAGTTTCGTTTTCTTGTTGATGAAAACCTCAGCAGGACTCTATATATGACTTGCAGGAAAAGCCTCCATCGGCCGGCCCTGCCTTGTGAATGCAACTTTTCTTATCTATACCTACTCAATGCCCAGAACTTGAATACATAAATGATAAATCGACTAGCGATTTCTCTTAAGTCACCTGAATCCTGATATGGTCCAGAAAGCTGGGGTTGAGATAATGACTTCCAGCAGTTTTTTTTTTTTACAATAACTTGGAATAGTTTTCTAAAAGACATAACTTGCAACAGTAACTGCCGGGGAAAAAACTGTCAATACTAACTCGCTCGTGATGTTAATTTCTCCTGGTCCTAGTCAGCTTTAGCTTGATTGCCACGTAGGGATGAAGAAGAATTGGCACCATCAGCAACACCACTCGGATCACCTGCAACCTTTGCAAATTCAGAGGAGTACTTTCTGATCCTCAAGGAGATGATAATGCTAGATCCAATTCCAAGCAAGGGAAACAAATATGACCAAGCCTTGGATCTCTGAGAACCAGATGCAGAAGCAACAGCAGCACCAGCAAGGCTGCCTATGGATGTATTCTGCAGAATCATAGGCAGGCACCCAACCACTGTAGGGAGCAGAAAGTCCACCAAGAAGCCAACTCCAGTGGCAGCTAGAGCATAGTTTATCATGTAAGAGGGAACGGGTGAGAAGCGCGCCAGAAGGACAAATTTCCAACCGTCTCGCTCAACTCCTCTTGAAAGGACATGGAAGTATTTATTCCTCTGCACCCATGCCGCTGCTGAGCTTGATCTCCGGAAAACTAGCCTGCGCAAAAAAATCATACATACCATCACCACAAAGATAGATTCGTCGTAAGGCACATTAACTCACTAATTAACTGGACTGACAGACAATCTGACTGATGGCTGTAATCAGATCAGAGTCATGAAACAATACATACATCGACTTTGGAGTCCTTCACCAAATGGTGCAACTAGCCTACTTGCACAGGAGAAAACGAAGTGCTGGAATCTACTCCAAACAGACATACAGTACAGTATTGGACCTGAACAATGAACCATTTCAATAGAACTTATTATCCAATAACTAAGGACTGGGCACAACATACTAGTATATGTGCGAGGACGACACTCAATGCAGCGCAATCCCCTTTTCGGCAGTTCATATTGACAAAGGGTAATGGAGTCGAGATTCAACAGGACAACATAGATACTTTGAGCTATTGGCAATGAAAGATGGAAGGAGTGCCAGTGTTGAGACTGGCAAGTTACAGATCTGCACTAGAATTACTGACTTATGTGTGAGCGTGGAGAAAGGCCGTGGGGAAAACCTAGGACCTCTGAGAGTTTAGAATTGTGTTTTGCTAATTGCTATGATAGCTTTGTAAGTGGAGTGCGGGACTAGTGGCTGTACCACTGGGCATTGAATACCAAAATTCAAAAACCCAAATTGGGCACAGATGAAAGAACACCACAGAGTTGCATCATTCAATACTTTTTTTTTTCTTTTTCCAACCATCATCAAGGAATAAGCGTGGGAAATGTAATGAGGCAACCCTTTCTACCAAACCCTAATCACTTGTCTTTGGCCATCATTCAAAGAAGCAAACCATCAACAACAACAATTCCTGCTGCTGCCATTTCACATTCCTACTTCTAGCAACCATCAAAGGAGTACCATACTAGTTTGACCAAATCAGTTTCTCACTATCTATCAATTGGGCAAACATAAAACTAACTGGAAAAATGGAAGCAGATAGTTGTTCAACTCCTGCGCACCTGCCGATCCAAAAGGACAGGGAAGCTCCCAAGATTTTGGCAGAGAAAACGCAGAGAAGCGCCGGGAAGAAGCCGAACAGGAGAGAAGCAGCCGCCTCAAAGAAAACGGCGTAGGGCAAGCAGAGAGCGAGGGTCAGGGTGTGAACCCCAACGTAAAGAGGCATGGCCCAAATGCCCAGTCGATCGGACCATTGAGCTAAGAGGTGGAATGCAGCGTCTTTGTCCCACCCAAAACGAGAACCGAATTGCTTGTTTCCAATGACTATTCCCAGGACGACGATCAAAACGCCGACCGTCCACCGCCTCCCCATTTCTCTGCTTCTTCTGTGATTTGGGGGAGATATTGACTGCGGCAACTGTCTAATTCTGCAGCGGAGTGACGAACTTGGATCTCCGATGGTGATGAGAGAAAGGATGGGCCAAGTGTTGGTTCTTCAATCGTCTGGATTCTGTTATTTTTCTCCCGACAGAAGTTCTGGGATCTGCATATTGTCTCGCTACCGGAGATACCAAAAAGGAATGTGGACCTTGCCTATACCCTATTTCAGTCATCCGACTGACTAGGGATGGCAATGGGTCGGGTCGGGGGCGGATAGTGCATATCCGTTACCCTATTCAATGTAGTTCGGGTTTTAGCCATACCCGTACCCACACGAGAAACGGGTAAAAAATCAAAACCATGCTCATACCCGTTCGGGTTTCGGGTATTCATGGTTATCCATAGGTAATAATCTCTCCTTATAATTCCAACCAATATGTTAACATTCACACATATACTCACATTACGTAAGAGGAAAAGTACGACAATAATTCACTAGAATGACGAAAATTAATTAAAACAACATAATTTCATGAAAGTATTATATTTATATGCTAAATATAAAATATTCTAGAGAAAAATAATGATTATTTCTAAAAAAATACATATGCATGTGTATAATCGGGCGGGTTCGGGTTGGATAGTGAGATAACCATGTCCACCCATTAGCCGCAATATTCGGATTCAGGTTTTACCCGTACCCACGAAAAACACTTCGGGTTCTAGTTTTACCCTACCCAATTAGGTCGGATTCGGGTGGATATCCACGGTTACAGATATTTTTGTCATCCTACGACTGACCCTTTTTCTTATTTAAACGGTGATATGCTAATGCTATGGTAACTTCCAAGCATGTTGTCGCGTGGGTTAGAATGCTGGTTGGTTCAACCTTTAGTAATAAGAAGCTGATATTATTGGTATTGGTAACTTCCAAGCTTCTAAACAAAATATATTCGTTTTAGTGAATTTTATTAGAATAATTAATAATAATTTGTGATTTATTTCATGAAAGCTATTTGTTGGACTCAACTATAAGAGGGTCAAATTAAGCAAAGTGATGAAATAAGAAATAGCCTATTGTAATTAGCATGGTTCAGGCACGCTTAATCTTACGTTTAGGCACACCTAGGCGCAAGGCAATGGCAAAATGTCTCGCCTAGGGGTTTTGAGCCTAATTAGATACTAGAATAGGTCAATGGAGTAAGGTGACATAAAAGTCTCTCCTAAGCATTACTAGATAGAGCTGGGAAATCAATACGAAAGGAGAAAATTAACATCAACTACGAAATCAATTTTCTGTATCAATATTTTCAATAGTTTAAGAACTTTGTGAGCTATTGAACTATGATTCTATGAAGTCGTGAGCTATGTTCTTGACTTCAATGTTGAGTACGTTATTAATCATTTTAACTGAAGTGAGAAAGTGTTGTAGATTATTATTTCATTCATCATGCAGTGCAAATAGTTATTTTTCTTCCAACGCCTAGGCACGCTTATTCTACGCCTAAGTGAGCTAGGTGCTAGGCAAAGGCTCAACGCTGCCTTACGCTTAGCGCTTTTTTGAACCTTGGTAATTAGATACATTAAATTGATCCAGTTAAGATGGTCACGAATTGAATTAAATATTTTTAGTGACCAAGCATGAACTCTTTTAATAATCCCAGTGACCAACCTAGCAATTTATCCAAATAATATGATACCAACAAAGTATAACATCATAGTTAATCTTGAACATTTGACTATTTTGTCATTTTTTATCATGACATCAATCACATGTTCATACATAACATACAAAATGAATGTATCAAATACGAGCCAAGATTTTAGTAAACAAACCTATTTCGAGCGCATACCTTATATACAAAATGAATGTACAAAATGCGAGCCAATATTTTAGTCAACAAGTCTAGTTTGAACTCGACTCGACTCGTTAATAAACAATGGGAAGCATTGACGATAACACAAAATCTATTAAGAGGTTAACAGGTAGATGATCTACTAATCACTGGCGATCAATTGTGAAGCGACTCAATAGAGTTTGGGCTATCAACAAGAGCTGCGAAGTCAATCGAAATGAGCGCTTATAACTATTGAAAGAGATAGATTCATGAAGAATTTTGAGGTGAATTCTGATCGGTAAAGTGTATTGCTACTAGAAATTCCTATATTGAAACCTTGGATATTTTGCAATGGAAACTTTGTATAGGAAGGGGGCGAAGGTTGAAAGTGAAGGGGTGTATGCGAAAAAGTTAATCTGTTAACTTGAAAATTCGTTGGCATATTATGAGGTAAGTGGCATTCCCTGGATATTATCACTCGTTTGGTTAAAGATTTAACAGTGGTGAGAGTGGGTAAATGGGGTAAGTCTCATGTTCCAGCTGCCCCCAAATCCAAGTGCAAATTAGAAAAAAAAAAGTTATTGCTCTAATATTTTTATTTTTGTGTTAGACTGTTAGTTGTTCTAATTACTGATTAGTATCAGAGAGAGCGGTGGGCTTTTTGCTTCTTATTAGAGAGAGGGATGGGTGATAGGGAAATGGGAATGGGAAATGGGAACGGGAACGGAGGAATGGGTTGGGTTTCGCACTTTCGCTTCTTTGTTATTGGTTTTGGTATTAGCTTTATAATTAGGATTAATATTTTCGTATGGCCTGAACTTTGACCAAAATAAACATCCTGGTCAATCTTTTCGATCTATAACATCTTGGCCCGAACTATACACCAAAATAAACAATTTGGCCAAATCCGATATTTGACCGTTAACTTGGATGGTCAAACGCGTTGACTAACGATCAACTCGCCACATCACTGCCACGTCACTGCCAAATCAGAAGATCTGATAAATATTTATTTATTTTGTTTTTTATTTTTGGTTTAAATAAGGTATTAGATGATTTTTTTTAATTTATAATAATTTAAAATTAGGGAATGTGTGGAAATTGTGAATTATTTTAAATATTTTATGCTGACTTGGCAGTGACATGGCGCGTTGACTAACGGTCAACGCATTTGACCGTCCAAGTTAATGGTCAAAAGTCGGATCTGGCCAAATTGTTTATTTTGGTGTATAGTTCGGGCCAGGATGTTATAGATCGAAAAGATTGGCCAGGATGTTTATTTTGGTCAAAGTTCAGGTCATACGAAAATATTAACCCTTCTAATTATAACAAATTAATATTTTGTTTTACCGTTACAACTTACACCTTCTTGTTTTTTATCCCAAACACCAATTTACACCTGTTACGATACGAGTCATTCGTAATAATCTAGGAATTTTTGGGCTCATCTATTTTTAGTAGAATTATTAATTAGTTAGATTTCGTATTATTTAGTATATTATTATTGTTTACTTGTCTTAGTAGAATTTGAGATTGTTTTCTAGTATGTTTAGGATTTGGTTATCTTTTCCTTGTAGGAAAGGTTTCATGTTCTAGATAGGAGAAAGTAGAGGCTTCCTATGTCTATAAATATGTATTGTGTCTTTCGTTTAATAATATGAGAAGATTGGAACCCAGGTAGCTTAGTAGTTTAGTTCTTCGATCCTCTATATTTCTCTTCGTTCTAAAGCCATTCTCGAGTTTCTTTGTTCGATTCGTGAGTGATACATTGCGTGAAAGTTCTAATCCGGGAAATTCACGTAACAATTGGTATCAGAGCCTGGTTTCAACAACCACAGTCGAGCTTACCAGCATCATCATCACACGCCGACAGGGTTGACAACCAGAGCAAACGATGGGTAAAACCCGAGCCACCAGCGCCGATGACATGGAAAACGACCCTCTGGTCCGCGTCCAGGAAACGGAGGGACGTTTGGAAACACTAGAAGGATGGGTCAACCAACTCGCCGAGCAGTTGAAGGGAATGGAACGGAAGCTAAACCACAAGATCAACGGCGTAGCTAATGCCGTAGCTGAAATTCAAGCTCGGATGAACGAGAATCATGCTCGAGCCGAGGAAAAGTACGCCGCACTGATGGAGATGATCGGGACCCTCATCGCCGAAAAAAGGGCGCAACCGACCCAGGGAACAAGGTCAACGACGACCTCGCGGAATCCTCGCCAGAGAAACTCGCACACCTCACTGCCGAGACGAAGCTTAAGAAACCTGTCGCCGATCGCGACGAGGTTGTAACAGGAGATATTGAAAGTCATCATCAAGACTCAAACTGACAACCATGAATGTCAAAAAGGATTGACAAGGTTTAGAGGAAATCATCATCAAGTTTAATTTAATGTCAATGTTTAGTTTAGCTTTAGTTTGAGTTATGTTTTATCTTTGTTGTTGTTTTCTCCAAAAGCAAGCTAGCACGCCTTGTCTTGTAGTGTCAAACTTGAGTATTTAAACCCAACCATGAATGAGAAATACCCAAGGCTTCTAGGGTTTCATTTTCCCCAACTCATCTTTGTTGTTATGGTATCAGAGCCTCTGAATCCTAGAGAACTCTAAAAACCTTCTACCCACAAAAATAAGGACTATGTCCAAATCTGAAATTTTCAAATGATAAACCCTAAAAAAATTACTTCTTCTTTATTGCGTCTCTTCCCCCAAATCCATCGACCACCGATCGACTCAACCCAGCAGATCAAATTCATCTCCAATTCCTCTTCCCAAATCTAGAGAGAGAGAGAGAGAGAGAGAGAGAGCCAAAAGTCCTAGGTTGAGATCGATCTCTACTTTCCCAAACCTTTATCACAAAACCCATTCTTTCAATCCAACGTCTCAAAATCAAAATCTCACAAATCCTTCCCAGATCTCTTTCCTTTGCCCATAACTTTCAGATCCACCACCCTAATACTACGTCCCAGAAACCAAAGATCTAAAAATTTTCATTTTCCCTTTTCACCAACCAAAACCCAAACGAAATCCCTAAACCCAAAAATCCCCAATTCTCCAGATCGAGTTCTCCTTCCATTCCAGCCTGAGCCCGTACACCATACGTCTAGTGGCTGGGTCGTCGTCGTCAAGAAATGATACATCTAGTCGCACAAGCAAAATCACCTCCACCGTGTTCACGTCCACAAACGACACAACCGATGGTGAAGAACCCAGTGGTCGAGAATCCACCGCCACTGGTGGCGTCGGACGAAGAAGTCGCAGACAAGGAGCGAAGCAAAGAAAAAATCAGATATGCTGACTCCCAACCAGAATCTTGTTCGGCTGTTGAAGAACTAAAAACAGAGTTGGCACCAGCTCTCTGCTTCATCAATCGTCGTGGCCATGACCCGAAAAAGCCCAACGGTAGAGAACCGTCAGTCGTTGGCGAAGTCTGACGAAGAAGACGAAGACAAGGATAAATCTAGTTCATATCGGTCTTCTCATTCAGAAATCCACAGCCTCGGGGCACTCAAACTCGTCCCCTTCTTCTGGCGACACCATCTCGCCGGCATGGACAATGAGTTCCTCCGTTTGGAGAGGACCAGCCACTTCGGGATGTTCAGCCCGAAAGTTACAGAGCTTGAGGCAGAGGATGATGCAGAGCATAAGGTAATCGTTGGAAGAAGGCGTTTTACACCCATTGGAGAATACCCATATGAGGAAGGTAAAAATCTTGACTTTGATGCTGAAATTACCCTACTGAATGAGAAGAACAAAACTGCCGATAATAGAGTTGTTGGTCAAGTTAGAGATTCTGTTTGGATGAAGTTCATTAGAGTGAATGAATGGAAGCTTTGAATGTTGTATTTGATCACATTTTGAATGAGAATGTGATTGAAGTTGAGAAGATTAAACAGATTGTCAATGTGGGTTGGTTGGAGGAAATGTCCAAGAGACAAGAGTGTCAAGTCTTTTGTTGATTCTCAACAAGCAGAAGAACAAAGAAGAAGCTGATGGTTTTAGCAGTAGAAGAAAAAAAAAGTGAAGTTTCAGAAATGAGAAGAAACAGAAGGAGCTTGTAGCAGCCAAGAGTGTATGCTGCTGTCATTCTTGTGTTTGCTCGACAACAAAAAAAATAAAAGCAGAAGCTGCAAGTTTCAGCAGCAACAACAAAAAAAAAAGAGATGAAGTTCATGTTTCAGCAAAGAAGATCAGAAGCAAGGGAAAGAACAATAAAGAGAAAATGCAGCATCCTATGAGTTTGCAGCAGAGGGTAGTAGTCAACAGTACACTCCCCTGGTGATTTCATATTGTATTTCGGATGGAATGCTAGCTAGCAATATCAGCAACAACAGCATATCCGGCCCATTTTTTGGATGGAATGCTAGCTAGCAAAGTCAGCAGCAGCATATCCGTACCACTTTGAAGATCCATCTGAAGCAGAAAAGTTGAAGATGTGAAAGTTTAGCCAGCTAGCCAAGATGCAGTAGCATTTTTCAATTGAAGGAGTGCTAGCCAGCCAAGAAAAAGCAGCAGCATAACCTATCAAAACTGGAGAAACTGAAGCTCAAAAAGCTGAAGTTGGGGGTTGAGGAGTTGAAGAAGAACGGAAAGTTAGCTAGCCAAAAATGAAGCGACTTATCCGAGTTAATTTGGAGAAACTGAAGCTACAAAGCTGAAGTTGGGTGTTGCGGAGTTGGAGAAGAAGAAGAAGAAGAAAAAGAAGAAGAAGGGATGGCAAGAGATTTTCATAGCTAGCTAGCCACAAATGCAACAGCTTTTCAGAAGATTTGTGGGAAGTTAGCTAGCAAGATGCAGCAGCTTCACCATTTGAAGTTTGAAGGGAAGTTAGTTAGGCCAAATAGTGTGACAACATTCTCATGTCAAGACTGTATTCTCTCCAAGCTTGGTCTGTGCTCACCCGCTTGTGGGCGGCGACCGGGGGGGGGGGGGGGGTAACAGGAGATATCAAGACTAAAACGACGATCATGAATGTCAAAGTGGATCGACAAGATTTAGGGGGGGGGGGGGGGGGGGGGGGGGGTAACAGGAGATATCAAGACTAAAACGACGATCATGAATGTCAAAGTGGATCGACAAGATTTAGAGGAAATCATCATCATCAAGTTCAATTTAATGTCAATGTTTAGTTTGAGTTATGTTTTATCTTTGTTGTTGTTTTCTCCAAAAGCAAGCTAGCACATCTTGTATTGTAGTGCCAAGCTTGAGTATTTAAACCCAACCATGAATGAGAAACACCCAAAGCTTCTAGGGTTTCATTTTCCCAACTCATCTTTGTTGTTAGGTCGAGATCGTGGATGAAACTTCGCCAGCCGGCCCCGACGTCGTACTGGACATGAAGGAGCTAGCCCTAGCTCCGAAACCATCGCTTACATCATCATCGGTCACCACCGTCCCAACCGTACCATCGATCGTACCACAATCCGAAGAGTTGTCGCCGGAGATTGTCGGGAAGGAGGAATCGCTCCTTACTCCCACGTTCACCTTTGTTGTCCATATTGTCGCGCCACCAATCCTTGTAACGTCATCAATCGATGCCGAGTCCGTGAGGGCCACGGAAGAAAAATCCGGACGCTCTTTTGGCCTATATCCAAAGCCCAAAGTTATTCCTAGTGGGGAACGATGCTCTTTTAATATTGGGGAGGGACGATGCTTTGATGAATGGAGGATTGTCAACGGTAAGCTATTTGATGGGTTTAATCCTTGTTAGATCAATTGGAAATATAGGAAGAAAGCTACGATAATGGAAGGTTTCGACGGGTTGCTTGGGGCGCATACTAAGAACTATTCTCGACGAAACGTATTAAAGTCATGCCACCATGAAGTACTGAGCCCGATTCTGTGGGGATTAGATGACATAAAGAAACGAGGAAGGCAATGGGTTCCGTTGGTGGCTAAGGGTCTTTATCAAGCTGCGGCTAACAAGGGGGAAGAAAATAAAGAAGCGAGGAGTCGAATTCTGCTACCACTAAATCTCGTCGAACTGAATTTTATGAAGAAGATGATTGCTGAGTCGTCAAGTATGAGGGCGGAATGGAAGGAAAACTTATGGTCGGCACTTGGAACGAAAATCAGGGGAGATGTGAGTTGGGAATGGTCGTGGTCAAGTGAAAAGTTGTCGTGGATTAGTTCCACCTTGTCATCTTCAATAGGAACAGGTGCTTGGAAGGTTGTGGGGAGACAGGAGAAGTGAGTACGTTGGCATGAAAAAGAAATGCATGAGATACAACAACTAGCATGCAAAGATGGCGCATATGATAATTTCATGTACGACCAACAAATAGTGAATGAGCAGCTGGGGCATAGCGGCAAAATCAAAGTGATCGAACCAGCAACTATCGAAAGGAAATTCGCGTACATAGGAGCTGCGGGTGTTGGATTTGTGTCGGCGCCGGAGCACAATTGGAAGTATCGCAAGCGGTATTGTCTAGCGCTTATTATCAGCAATAATGAAGGGGGAACGTTCTTCTAAATTGATCCAGGTTGAGAGTTCTTCCAAGAAGAAGATCAACCTTGAGGGCAAGGTTGCGCTTAAGGGGGGAGGATTGATACGATACGAGCCATTCGTACTAATCTAGGAATTTTTGGGTTCATCTATTTTTAGTAGAATTATTAATTAGTTAGTATTTCATATTATTTGGGATATTATTATTGTTTACTTGTATTAGTAGAATTTGAGATGATTTTCTGGTATGTTTAGGATTTGGTTATCTTTTCCTTGTAGGAAAGGTTTCATGTTCTAGATAGGAGAAGGTAGATGCCTCCTATGCCTATAAATATGTGTTGTGTCTTTCGTTTAATAATATGAGAAGATTGGAACCCAAGTAGCTTAGTTCTTCGATCCTCTATATTTCTCTTCGTTCTAAGTCTATTTCTCTTCCTTCTAAAGCCATTCTCGAGTTCCTTTGTTCGATTCGTGAGAGACACGCTGCGAGGAAGTTCTAATCCGGGAAATCCACGTAACAACACCTCAATTTACTTTCATTTTAAATTTAATCCCTCTACAATTCTCACCTCAATTTGCACCTGCTCGAATTTGCAGCCTCTCATTATCAAACCAAGTTAGTGTTCAGGAAATGTTAAGAAGATAATGTGAGAGAGTTAGTGGACTGTCATTTGGGAGAAATTTGACTATTGTAGTGGGAGGGGGAGACGCGTACTTCCTTTATATTTTTTAATTAACAACAATAAACAATTTTAGATAGTTCATTTATGAATGAAATTGGTAATAGTATCTTTGATGAACTAATTGGGCATATTAAAATTTTCATCTCTTTCTCACCCAGGGTGTACCGGGTGGATTTCTTTAATCTTTTTCGTGTACAAGTATGAAGTATTTTGTCCAAAATTTGATATGCTATTTAAATAATATTTAAATTAAATTAATATAATATTAATACTCTATCGACACTCTAAATATATAATTCTTTAAGAATTAACGCTCTTGCTTCCCGAATTGATAACCTATGGACAAACATCTTATCTTATCTTATCTTATCTTACTATATATTATGGTTGTTCAAAAGTTACTTCTTGCCAAATAAGCATTTGAAGAACTCACAAGTTGCCAAGGTGGACAATTTGTTTGAAAACAAAAACATTTAGTTAATGACATATTTATGGAGCAAACTCTCTCTTCTTTTAATATTTTTTTCTTTCAATCAATAATTCCTTTTTTCTTTTGCATTATATATGCAATAATAGACTAATGTTTGTAAAGTTACATCTATCGCATTTTTTTAAAACGAAACATATTATTACATCTTTAAGTCAAATTTCTACTCATTTATACTAGAACTTATAAGATATGTTTTAATGAAAAATGAAAAAATACACACATAAGTAATAATATTTAGTTCGATCAAACAAATATAATGATGGAAAGAGAGAGAAAAGTTATTAGATGATCAATCTATTTTAATAAATACTTTTTACTGTTCACAATAAGATTTTATCTCATATACCCAATTTTACCATAAGCCCTTTTTCTCCTTTTCTGTAATATTATTCATATGATTTTTATTCCCTAAAACCACTTTTACCATAAGTCTAAAATTCATAAATAATTATTATTACACAACATATTATGAATCTACTTTTCTGCAATATTATATGTGTTTTATTCCCTACAACCACTTCAAAAATAAGTCTAAAATTAATAAGCAATTATTATTAGACCACATTATGAAATATTTATGTAAAAAATTCAACAAAAGTTACATAAATTGAAAATTCATTGATGTTACTTACTATAACTTGATTATACTATTAGACCACACATTATGAAAAAATTATGTAATAACGTTCTATAACTGTTACATGAGTTTTACTTAATGATTAAGACACTACATAAAGTTTATGGACAAATAATCATTTATGTATCAATTAAAAAAATATATGTAAGTTTTCTATAATAATTAAACACTACGTAAACTTTATGTAGAAATAGTTATTTACAATGTATCACTTAGACAAACGGATGACGTATGTTATTCGTAATTAGTAAAACATCACGTGAAACTTACTTATGTATCTTATCTGAATAATTTGGTAAATTATTTTGTTTAAACTAACTCATTAGTTTCTACTGCGGCGGAGCGCGAGCCAAAAAACTAGTAATGGTGTTGGTAAATCTTGTCTGCACTCTAATTTTAGTTATATTATATTACATTGTTAATATTATTATAAGTTGACATTGATATAGGCTATTAACTCTCTTAGTTATCATCTACTAGCTAGAAACAACATGCAAACTCATAATTGACTAGTAGAACATTTCTCAATCGAAAGTCATCCATTTATATTGAACTTCGTTTGTAAGGGTCATCCGATAGTTTTACTGCTTTACATATATACAATGACTATTGTTCCCATCAATTATCGACATTTCTATTACCAACTTTTTTTTCTGTACATGAAATCAAATGGAAGATCACGGGCAGTGGTTGAATTCAAAGTGTTCAACCCATCTAGTCTCCCCATTCATGTAAAGCTTGTGTGTACTCCAAAATCCCTACAAGGGGCTTATCAAACACAAGTTTCAGAACTTTCTTTTGGTCCATCTAGTACTTCACATCACAATTGGTAGTAAGTATTCTTGCTAGTTTCTCAAGAGTCTTCACATATAAAAAGAAAAGCGTTAATACATTATATATACTTATAATCAATCTACACTATTTATACAAAAAGAAATAACCAATATATGTTCATTATCACATCTCTTTCCTTGCATTTTTCTTGCTAACCTTTGTACTTATAGTTCTTTCCGGAACAAAACCAACCACACTACCCACTTAAGCATCGCGTTCACTCGAATGGTATCATTCTTGGTCAAATTCGACTTCATACAATCAATTAGTTCATAAACGTTAAGTGAAACTAAGTCTAAACGATCAGCATATTTGATGTTGCACGCGACCTACATATAGGTAGAAACAACATGGTAGGCGCAGGTTGTTACAATCAAGGTAAAAAACAATTATCCATCAACTCAAAACAATTTCATACATATAAGAGCAAACACAATAATGATGATTATCCAATAAAGGATATCTGATACATACGCCAACTTCCTTGTGCCCTAACTGCAATGACAATGATATCTTTCGCAGTCACTTTCGTCATACTTCAATCAATGGACAAAGGCATATCCTCATTATCCTCATACAAATCATCCAGTAGCCGATTCCATTTCTCTTTAAGCTTTTACTACTCTTATAGCTTAATTAGCTAGCTTACTGAGCTTCGACATCGCGTTGATCGCTTCTAGCTAGATTTCACGAATCGCCGCGCTACTTGCAATGAAGCAATGGCTCGCGGGAAGGGAACCACAAGTGGGGAAAAAAAGAAAATCTTCAAGGTACAACGACCTATGAATCTGGAAACTGAGAAGAACCTCAATTTGTCGGTTTCTGTTGATTGGAGAGATCCTAACTAGCTCAAGAATATAGTCAACGGGAAGATAACGTATTTATTAAACTCATCAGTGATGTTAAACATCAAGGAAAATAGCATATGTATTAGATCGATATGCTTTTTTGTAGTGGTTTAGTTTCGATCGAGAGGATAAGTAGAAACATCAAATATACATGTCAAACACTTGAAAAAAAAAATAGAGATGTCATAACTGAGATTCATTACAATTCAAACACTTATTTTTAACTATACATTTTTTCTTCATTTCCTCTTTTTTCACTTTACTTTCACCAATCAACAAACATACAGAAATCATTCATAGTTAAAACGTTCTGGTAGCATCACTCTTTTCCAATTTTGACAATTCTTTAGCGGTTTTGACTTCCGCTTCATACCAATGGGCAATGATCTTCCAACCGGTTTATTATCGATATCGGTTGAACCTGGTTGTGTCGAATGATATATCATTGGTTCAAAAACCATAATATATGCTTTCTTTAGAGGGTCAAAGATCACAATATGTGGTTGAATTCATAGTGTTTAACCTGCATTACTTATTCGATTGTTTAGTGGTTAATTAAGCTATATACATGAATGGTGTACATCAATCATCCATTATTTTTACTTATTATTATATACTTTCAATTGTTAAGTCCCAACGCATGTAGTATTGATTGTTGGTTGCAGCTCGATGGAATACAAGACGGAGACGAGTTATTGTATTTTTTGACCAACCTATTGGAATATTCCTAGTGTGTGTAGTCAACCGGGTCGTACGTCGCTGATAGTTAGCATCAGAACCTGTGAGGTGAATCTTGTTTCATACTTTTAGCACTAGTCTTGAATTGGCTTAAACTAGCTAGCTATTAATCATACGTTAGGTATAATTTTTGTTGATATGTATGAT